TGACTTTGGGAGACAGACAATATAGGCACCCTCAATGCTACACTCAGCACTGGCTGTCTCATTTCCACTGGCAACTGTTGACATGTTGTGAGAAGCAATAAACAAGGCTGTGGGCTGAGCTTGAGTGACATTGGCACCTGTAAATATTTTCACTTTAAAAGTAGCTTTTAGTTTTGTCGAGATCTGGAAGTATATGCTCGTGGTATTCCTGCTGACCTCAAAACGAAATCCTCCAGTTGTATAAGATTCTGTTGTGTCGGGTCCCATTATTAATGGAAAAGTTGTAGATCCATTACCTTTCCTGGTAAGAAAAACATCTGCTCTTTCAGGCACGATCCCAACTAGATCCCCATTAGCCTTAGTCTCTGCCATTTTAAACCCCAAGACCGTTGTTCTGATTTCTGCTGTGTAACCTAACCAAGGGAAGGGGGTCTTATCAAACTCAAAAATGGCAGTGGAAAACACAGTATCCTGAGCAAATCCTGAAACATTTCCATGTTTCAGTGTTGGATAAAAGCAATTCCTGCAGGTGTCGCTGGTAGGGAAAGCATTTGCAGTGTTCCAGGCTTCATCTTTCTTCAGAGTGATATTCCAGTCTTTCGTTTCCATTAAAGTTTCTATTTCTCCAGGGACTTTGCCCCGGAAAGCTACCTCTGTTACACCTTCCATGATGGACAAGACTTGTTCGATTCCATCTGCACTGACATTCTTGAGATCCGTAAGATCAGATCTCAGGATGTTGGACAAGCATCTTAGTATTCCACTGGTTTGAATTTCTGCTTCCTCAGACCAATGGATCTGATTTCTCTGTGTCTTCAGAATTCCTGTTGCTTCTCTCAGTTTTGCAATGGCGAGGCCTTGTGACCTAATGTTCACTTCATCAACTTCCTCTGTGACTGCAGCAAGAACAGCCACTACTTGATTGACTCCCATAATGCTCTTAACTGAAATATTCAGGGCTGTTTTAATCAGGGTTTCCCGAAGCTTAGCCTGAGGGAGCTGGGGAGTTGGTACAGTTTTAACATAGTTTAAGATTGAGGCTGCCAGGTAAGCCAAATAACCAGCTCTAAGATGATCCCCAGCCTTCGGACCAGCTGTGCTTAAACTGCTTGCTGAGGCCAGCAGTTCATGAAACACAGCAGGGAGTAATTGAGGGTTTGCTGGGTTCCGGATGGAGGTATGCAAAGTCACTTGGGTAAACGCCCCAAGGGAATCACGGACTTGAACATAAATTGTCAAGGTGTACCTGTGAGAGGGCGCTCCAGGTGGGAGAAAAGATAGAGGACTTTTAGGCTCAGAACCAAAGTACAGAATTGTGCCAAATGTGTTTTCCACCACAGAAGTTACTTTGGTAGTTTCAGGTACGTTGGAAGCTACTATCACTTTATATGTCAGAGGTAAATTGCTGCCAGAAAATCCCTTGCATCTAACCACAAATTTTGTCAGAAAGGCTATACCCCGACGTGGGTTCAAGTTACACCTGCCGGCCCGAGGAGGAGTATTTACCCTAAATTTTCTACTGTAGACTGAGGTCCTACCATCCCAGGTACTTACTCTTAAGTGAAGTGTGTAGGATGGAGATGTAGCCCTTGTGAAAGTCAGAGCATGTATAGACATGTAAGCCCCAGACCTCCCCGTTGATGTTTTGGAAGACCAGTCAAAGCTAATTTCTCTACCGCTGCCTGACAAAAGGGACCAGTAGTAGACTGGCTTGTTGATTGGTTTACAGTTTAAGCATTTACCAGACAAGGCAAATCTCTCCGTTGGAATTAAAGTGCTACCACAGTTTTCAATGCATGCCACGTTCAGACGGAGTGGAGGGCCGGCCTCCACCTCTACCACTTGATCAGCATGGCTTATCCTTCTGCCCTTTTGAATCACTAGGCGAAAGTAGTATATGCTTCTTCCTGGGAGGGATTCTGGTGCCATTCTTTGAATGGGACCTGAGGGTGTTAACCAGCGCAAATCCTTCTGGGATGGATGGCATTTGTTTTCTGGCCTAAATTTCATGGTATTATAGTCTCTCAAATCTCTAGTGCAGTACCAAGTAAATGAGATTGATCCTTCCTGTGAATCAGGATCAGAGGATGCAGAGCCATCAAGAGTCCAGCTTTCAGAAAAACCCACCATGCGGAACTCACCTCCTGAAATATTTGCCATTAGATTAGCTCTCTCGATCTGAACATAAATTCTGTCTTGCCCCCTGAGGATTTCTCTGGTGGTCATTGGCATTACCTCAACAGTGAAATAAAACAGATACAACCCATAATCTAAAGTATTACTGGGAATAGTTAAATGTATCATTTCTATGCCAAAAAAGGCAGAACTGTTCATTGGTTTTGACCAGTCTGGTGCAGTTTTTGTGTCCCTAACAGGATAGATACGCCAAAAGGGCTTCACAGATATAGCAGTCTGGCATTCTACGAGCAATCTGACAAAGAGGTAAAAAGATTCTCCCCTTTTCCGGTACAGGATAATTGCTCTGCGATCAGTTCTCTGAATCCACACCAAGGCTATCTTACACTTTTTTTCCTGGCAAACCACTGGTGCTTCTATGGTTTTTTCAGTATAGTTGTTGACTCTGACTCTTAGAAGAGCCGGTGTAGGTGCACTGCCAGTACAGTTCACCTTTGCCACAAACCCCGTGTAATTCTCTGTGTCAAAGGGTAAAGCAGAGCGACGGACAAAACGTGTGGCGTTTTTTACATGATCGCTGTATGTGTACGTGCTGTTCTGGACAATGTGGTCTTTTTGTGTTCCAAGGAGCTGCAGATGGAAGGTCCACTCACACTGCAGCATCGGATGTTGGGTGGGGATAAACCACACTAAATAAGTAAAGTTCTGCAGAAAAGAAGGGCGGCTACTGAAAACATGTACTTCAAGGTCTCTTTCTGCCAGAGACCTAAACAAAGCCCTCTTCTGATTCATATAAAGGTACATATTGAACTTGTACCACTGGAAGGTCACAAACTCTATGGTGAGTAAGTAGGAGAGCTCTTTGTGTTGGTAGAAGACAGTGTGTGTATTAGGGCTATCTGTGGAAACAGGGCTGTTGTTTTCTTTAGATGTGTAAAATGTTCCCTGGCTGTACCTGAAAATGTAAGTTCTGCTGTTGGTCTCCCCCGGGTGAAGGCTGATGTGGGTGTGAGTTTCTCTGCCTGCAGTTAGGATCAAAGTACCATTGAGTAGGTGCAGTTCTCCTGACAGTTCCTCAAACCTCTTTCCATCAACATGAAAGTAAACACTGGCCACCACTATCTCGCTCTTGTTCTGAGGTGCAGATATGGCACAGAAGTTGCTCGGTGTCATAAAGGAACTGTAGGAGCGGAGCCAACCTCCTATAGCCTGTGTGTCCACCAGTCTGTAGGCAAGTATGCTCACGGTCAGGGGCTGAAGCCTCCAGGACAAGCTAAGGGGCTGCTGAGAAACATTAAGGAGCTTGGAGCCAATGCTGAGGACATGCAGCAAGTCGGGCTCCACCTTGAGAGAGAGGCTGAGGCTTATCTGAGGCATCTGCTCGATAGTGACCGAAGCAACGTGGATCCCGTGGTTTCCGTAGCGCACAGTCAAGCGGTAGCTGTGGTAGGTGGCACAGGTCTGTTGCAGCTCAGCTGTTGGGTAGATAGCAGGTGGCGGTGTGTCTTGGTACTCGCCGCTGGGAAGGAGAAGGGTCGAGGGGCTGCCTCCCCCGCTGCTGAAGCGGTACTGCCAGTGGGCACTCTTGAGGCGTGCACACCAGCCCAGCTCCACTGGCTGCCACGCGCGGATCAGACGTGTCTGCGGCCAAAGCACGAACAGCCGCACGTCCTGCACGGAGATCTCGATGCTCACGTTGTGGTGAAGGCAATCGAGTGCAGCGCAGGAAGCAGACGAGCATTGCACCGTAAGGAGGCTGGAGGCCCCGGGTGGAGGAGCGTGTCCTGCCTGCAGCACCACCTGCCCTGACCAGCTCGAGGTGTTCCTCACGCAGGCCGAGTCCAGGTACCAGAAGCAGCGAGGTGGGGGTGGCGGCTGCCCCTCTGTCCACTCTACCTCCGGCCTTGCTCCCGGGGCGGGCCCGTAACGCAGGGTCAAGGTGCTGTTCCACAGGCACGAGACCCTGTGCTCATTGTCATGCCGCTGGGAGACTCGGCCGTGAGGGCCCGGGCAGCTGACCCGCAGGGGGGATGGCTGGAGACGGGGACGGGACGCCCCCGAGCCCCGGGGGCAGCAGGCGAGCAGCTGCAGGAGCAACAGGAGGTGCGCGGCCATCGCGGTGAGAGGGGACGGGGCGCGGGGAGCGCGGCCTCACGGGCGCTGCCCAACAGCCGGACCGGGGACCCGAGAGGACCGGAGTGTCCTCCGGGGCGCAGCCAGTGAGAACGGTATATAAGGTCGGACACCGCGGGCCGGAGGAGGGTCCGGAGCAATGAACAAGGACTTTGGGCCAGTGATGGCCACGAGCTCCCTCAGCGTCGGCGCGAGGGCTCCGCGCGCGCCAACCGTCCACGTTCGCCGCCCGCGCGAGGCCCCGCCCCCGCCGGGCCCGGCCCCAGCGCGAGGGACCGCGGGGCTGCGCGGAGACCATGGCGGCGCTGAGGGACTGCACGGTGAGGGACTGCGGGCTGAGGGCAGCGCTGAGGAAATGAGGGACTGCGGGCTGAGAGCAGCGCTGAGGAAATGAGGGACTGAGGGGTGAGGGACTGCGGGGTGAGGGCAGCGCTGAGGAAATGAGGGGCTGTGGGCTGAGGGCAGCGCTGCGGGGTGAGGTACTGCGGGGTGAAAGCAGCGCTGAGGAAATGAGGGACTGCGGGGTGAGGACAGCGCTGAGGAAATAAGGGACTGCGGGGTGAGGGCAGCGCTGAGGAAATGAGGGACTGCGGGGTGAGGACAGCGCTGAGGGGCTGTGGGGTGAGGGCAGCGCTGAGGAAATGAGGGGCTGTGGGGTGAGGGCAGCGCTGGAGGACTGCGGGGCTGTGGGGTGAGGGCAGCGCTGAGGGGCAGCGCTGCGGACGCTGAGCCGTCCCGCCCACTGTCCCTTCCGCCGGGTGCAGCCGCGTCTGAACATCTCTGGGTGGTGTTTACGGGCAGGGGTCCCGCGGCACACTCCTGCTCTTTCCGTGGGCAGCAGAAGTGGGTCAGGCCTTCGCTTAACTTTAAACCAGCCTCAAGTCCAAGGGTCTGATGTCGACCTGCAGGTGCTGGTTACTGATTAGTCGTTTGCGCGCTTTCTTCCGGATGACCTGTTATTGTTGTGTTTTGGTTAATTAGGCAGGGGCGGGTGAAGTAAGAAGTCTTGACTATTGCATGAGACAGTGATGGGTGCGTGATCGCCAGAGCCCTGGGGATCTGCCCCGCAAAGAATACAAGAGGTGCCAATGCAAAGAGCACGATTCCCAGAGCCAGCTGTGATTCTAGCAGGAAAAACATACAAATAAATGGTCACTAGATCTCGTGACAGAAGTCTAATCTTAGAGCGGGGAAAGGGCAAGGCTTTGGTCTCGCCAAGAAGCAGTGAGAAGAGCCAAGGCCACGGCTCTCTCATCCAAGAGGCATCATTAAGAAGGGTCTCTTCTGGAGTTAGAGAGGAGGGATGTGGGAGATCAGTGTGACAGAAGTCAAAGGCAGGCTCTGTGGGAAGGAGAGCTGGTAATTGCTTTATAGACTCTTGAGGTTGATTTTTACCTACTCACGCTCCTCTCGGGATTTCTTCAGTCACAGTTTGATACCTGAGTGCAGACAAGCCCCAGGACATGAGTGTCCCAAGTAGTCTGGGCAGGACCCGTTGTGTACGACCCAGAGGACAGGGCGTGTTGGCTCCTCTCCAATAGCTGGTTCTTGGTTGACAGTGACAGATTAGGTTTGTAGCACATCTTTTATGTCTCTTAGGAGCCAGCAGCTGCTGTGAGGTGGTTCTTCACTGCAGCCCATTGTCCTGGTGTGCTAACAGGGAGAGGAGTGGCATCCCTTGTGACGCAGCCTTGCTGCCTTCGTCCTGTTGCTAGAGTGTGAGTCTTCCCTGGAGGAGCGAGATGTGCAGGACAGAGGCTCTCTAGAGCGGTTGGAAATAGCATGTACCTCAGCTAGATCAGCAGTGTCCTTAGGGATGGATGCAGGCCCATTTTGCACTAACCCTTGCTCTGCTGTTTTGTTCTGATGCTCACAGACATTTCCATTCCTGTGAATCAGCATTAACAAATCTTTTCGGAACAGGACACCATTTTCTCTTGGGCAAGGATCTCAAGCTGTTGTGTAAAATGGGCAGTGGCACACAGCCTGCTCCAAATGTTTTTGATGACTGGTGCTGAGGGTGGCTCCTGGCCTAGTTTGCAGGGTACCATGGAAGGTAGTCTGTAAGTAGCAAGCCTAACCTTGCTACCTGCTCGACTTTTCACTTTACTCCATTTCTGGATATAGTGTGAATTGTAAAGAAAATTTGTAATTTTATATTCAGGTCTACTCTTTCAGGCTTGTAATTCAAAGCCTCATGTGCTCCAGCTGCTGGAATGTGAGCCTTTAATCCAGTCACAGTGGGAAAGCTTTAGGATATATTAACAAAGATGTCCTTACCAGGTTACTAGCAATTTTTGACAGTTGGGTCATTATAGCCAGGAAGTACATTAAAGTATAAAATGAGACCAGCTGAATTCTTGCAGCATCAGGAAGAACTAAGCCCCCATTCGGAGAAGTCTGAATTGGCTTGCCCCAGGTCTGCTTTTATGATGTGTGTCTATCCTCTACATTCTGTGTACTGGAGTAAAAGTAAAGCCAGAAGATGCTGTGCCTCAGCCACGTTAGCTTATTAGAAACTGTGGCAGCCCAATTCTGTTTAGTTTTTTAGCTCTATCTGTTGCCCGTGTTCTTAATTCTGTAAGGCTTACATAGAAATCTGTGATCCAAATTTTCTGCTGGTTAACTCCAGTGACTTGGTTGATTTGCTCTGCCAGGCTGTTTGACCTGCAAGTTACTTAAGATATTGATTTCCGTTATAAAAGAACAGAGTTTTATTTTACCACGTCTCTACTTCTCACGAGGTGTACCTGCAGCAGAGGGACTGGTCAACAGCTGTAATGAAGTCAGAATGGCTCTCTCGTGAGATGTGTAACCCACCAAGATCTTCTATTACACTTCATAATTGTTTGCTTCCTTAAACTCACTACTAGCTCCAACTAATTGAGTCTTGGGACGTAACTGCAACGGAACAAAAGGGTTGTGTCTGCTCACGCTGTCCTTCCAACTTTTCTCTTTAAAACAGCATAGTTGATGAAAACTTCAAAACACCCATCACTTTGAACATGTCAGTGTAGCCTGGAACACGAGGGTGTAAAATGAGCAGGTTTGTGTTTGTTTGTTGTGCAGGCCTGGCGGGATGCTGGACTTGTCCTGTCCACGACGAGCAATGAAGCCTGTAAGCTCTTCGATGCTGCGCTGACACAGGTATGACCGACAGGTGTGAGAAAATGTGATGCGCAGGGACTCGAGCATGAAACAGCCTTTGCTGTAGCTGACATTTAAATTTCTTGTCAGCTGGGAGAGCCTCAAAGTCAGGCCACCACAGGAATCCAGCTTTTAGGTGGCAGCAGGAAACCCTCGTAGCAGAGGGCTGTGCCAGATGCTGTGGTGAAAACCTCAGCCAACGTGCTCATGCCACTTGACACTGCTAAATCATCCAGTTGACATAAAAGCACACAGAAATCCAGGGTCATTGGTCCTGCTAGTGGCCAAACTGTCTTAAAACCCTCCAGTTTTTCTGTTTTCCTACTACGCTAAACCTATCTGAATGCAATGTTTGTCTTTTAGTCATTTGCCTTGCTTATTTTTGAAATTTAAATGTCTGGGAGGAAGAAAAGAAGCCCAGTCTCATAGAATATTTCTCAACGCTCAGACCTCTCTTGTTCTGTCTCTCTTACAGTATGCAACCTGGACCAATGATGAGAGCCTTGGAGGTATTGAGGGATGCCTCTCCAAGTTAAAAGCAGCAGATCCAAATTTTAGTGAGTATAACCTTTAATTCTGAGCATGAGAAGTGATAGGAAATACCTGGTGTCCTGGTAGTTAACTGACTTTGTTTGTGCAAGGGCAAGGTGATGGCTTGTAGAATTCTGTAATGTGAAGCTTCCTCAGAATCTGGAGCAGGCAGGATGGTTTTGTGAGGGGTTTTTTTCATGAAAAACCTCTAAGAACTTTAGGCTTGGGAGACTTTCTGTATTTCTGACCCCAAGTCAGTCTTGCTTAAAATTCTCAGCTCCTCTTGTGTAATGTGGAGCTGAAGGTGATGCTGTAGAGCTCAGCTGCTTCTGTGCTGTTTTCTGTAGCAATGGGCCATGTCATTGCTAATGGTTTGGAGCTGGTTGGCACTGGAAGCTCCGTGCGACTCGACAAAGAGCTGGACCGTGCCATGAGAACGATGGTGGCTCTTTCCGAGTCCCAGCCACTGACTGAGCGGGAGAAGCTTCATGTGTCAGCGCTGGACATGTTTGCCAGGGGGTGAGTCCACTGTCACCCTGTGCAAGGGACTGACGGGTTTTCGCTACCACAGGCGGAAGCGGTGGTTGGAAGTGGGAGGTGTGTGATACTGGCTGACATCTAGCAAAGCATCAGAGTGAGATGTCACAGGTGGTTCCTGCTTTTCTCTCTTGGCTCTAAGTGCCTTGTCTAGTTAGTGAGCAACACTACACTGTAGGAGTAAAGTGCTCTATTGCCACCATTTCCTAGCAGTAAGCACTCCATGTTTTAAACCTGTCACAGATCCATTAGTGGAGTATGTGGTTTAGAACTAGGAAACAAAGTATTTGGCTACAGTAGGGTCCAGACTCAGATGCACAGGAGCAAAGTTACAGACTTTTCTTCTCTCTGTTGTCTTCCTATGTCAAAACCTATTTCCTCTGTAAAACATGGAGATACCAGAGTGGCACAAGTGCTGTAGAAGTTCACGGTTTCATTCCATATGATAAATCTGTGTGCACTGCAGAAAGTGTGGGCTGATTCACTTCCATTCATTGTTTGCCAAACAAATGGATGAGCATGGATTTATCTCACATACTTCTCAGCAGAGGTAAAGAGGAAGCTCTTGAAGCCCTGTCACTATGGGTTTGATTACCACTAGAGGAGAGGGGAGCTGTCTTTGCACATATGAAGTTAGATTAATTATGGTAGATGTCTGTAAGAACTGTTCAGCCCTGTAGGAAAATCTTCAGGTTTATGGTTTAAGTTTCTTTCATTTTCCTTTTGTGTTACAGTGACTTGGTGTAACCCAAGGACATTTCTTTCAAAAGATTCCTCAGAAGGTGTGAAGCAAAGATAATGCCATTATTACTTTAAAAAAGACTAAAAATTCCTTCAAGGAAGAAACAAGTCATTTGGTGTTGAATTTTCTATTTTTCAGCATAGTGCGAGCTCAGAACCAACAGTAGCAGCAGGTGTGTGTGCCTTCTTTCGGCAATGGAAATAATTTTTTATTTCTAGCCAGCTTCCAGAAGCTTGTGATCTGTGGGAACAGATTCTGCAGAGACACCCAACTGACCTGCTAGCCCTCAAATTTTCCCACGACACTTATTTCTACCTGGGATATCAGGTGCAGATGCGAGATTCTGTTGCCCGGGTTTATCCTTTCTGGACACCTGATGTTCCACTGAGCAGGTGGGTCGTGCTTAATTTTGAAAATTGCTCTTCACCTGATGTGCACATACTTTGTGGTTTTTAAGTTCAGACACACCTAAGTAACAGGATCTGTTGGAATCATGTAGGCATGTAGACAAAAACCAAGGGCTTAGAAGTGAATCAAGCTCGACCGCAGACAGAACGTGTCTCCAGTGTCCCTCTTGACACTGTTGTTGAGGGATTTTTCTAAAGGGAGCTTGTGTCTCACTGCTGTCAAACACAGCACGTGGCATGGAACGCACAGGATGAAACTGCGTCCTCGCCCAGGGCAGTGGCAAAACTTCCTCAGGCTTCGTGGATCCACTTTTTTACCTGGGGCTCACATTGTGAGTCATAGAGCACATCAGTGGAAAGAAGAAAGGAGTTGTAACTTAGAATACCAAAGTGCGGTTCTGAAACAAAATTTGGAAATATACAATACCAGCTGTTACAGCCCAGACTGACAGGAAGGCCAGTTTTAAAAATTTCTGTAGTTCAGTCCTGAAAGTTTCAGTTTCCAAAAGTTAGTTCAGGACAATCTGAATCTGTTGGCAAGTGAAAAGTTAATAAAAGCTAATTTGGCATAATTTTTTAAATTATCTTTTTAAGACCAGTTTTATTATTTGAAAGATTTTAATGTTATGTAAAAGTTAGTGTTACATTGTAAGTTAAGACATACATTTAACATTTAGAGACAGCTGAGTAGATGATCCACACACTTTCTGAATATTTTTGCATGTTGCTGTATACCAGTGTGCTTTCCCTCCATATCCAGCACAAGCTGGGCTCCTTATTTCTTCCAGGAACAGTGCAGAGAGTACAGACTGGATGCTGATGTAGCAGTGAGGTGCCCTTATGGCACAGGGTCTAGTGTCAGGAGTATAATTTTTCCAGCTGTGTTACCTCAGAGAAATCTAAAACTTAGTTCTTTTCAACTACAATATACTGGTTTCATTTAAAAATTTTCTAGACACGATCCTACAAAAGTTTAGGTTCTTGTCCACTTAATTGTAAAGCAACAGAGAACAATCATATGCCAAGCATTTCTGAAGTAAAAAAACCTGGCAACTACACCTTGCCCCGAAACTTACAGGCATGGAGAGTTGAATTACAGGTGAATTGATGAATTGAACGTTGATGAAAGAAAAGTCAGTATTTATCTTGATGGATGATCAGGTGCAACATCCCCCACACTTTTTAGTAGTCCCTTTGCCTTAGGAGTTTTAAATCAATACCCCAACACATATTTTGAGAAGCAGAAACTTACCTTGTGGTGTTTTACCATCCAGAAATCTGCATGTAGAGTAGCAGTTCAATATTTCTTAAAATCAGGCATATGTGTAAGAGCATATAACATTCCTGATTTTCCTTTACATTGGGCCTTTATGGCTTAATGGGGATGATTTATAACCAGTTTTAAAGGGCCACTTCACGTAAAAGTACTCTCCTGTACTTCTATTATTTTATTATATATATTTTTTACGTATGATTTTGTGGGCACTGGAAAATGTGGAGAAGGTTGCCTTTGAGATGCTCACATAACTTCGGTGACAGCACTGTCTCGCTTCCAGCTTTCTAGTTCAGCATCTTGCAGGTGTTACGGAGATGAGCAGCTTGTTCTGTGCAGCTCTTGGTTCTATCTCATCCAAAAATGGAAATGTCTGTTCTGATGTGCATCTTGTTACTGTTTCCCATGCTGGTGTCTCTGGGCCACTCATTTCCTCTGAGAACTAGCTTAGCAGTTCTGTATCCTGCAAGCTTGAACTCTCATTGTAACTTTGCACTGTAAAGACTGTTTTGAGTCAAATGCTATTTCTAGTATGTCTTTTCAGTCCTGGATTAAATCTAGTTATAAATGCATGATGTGCTGTTTTCCCCCCTTTTGTTAGCTATGTGAAAGGCTACTACTCTTTTGGACTCGTGGAAACAAACTTTTTTGACCGTGCTGAGGAGGTTGCCCGTGAGGTAAACTGCCTGCTCTTGGTGCTAAAAGGTTTTAGAATTCTCAAACATGGTCCCTCTCACTGGGTGGTGGTTTGTGCCAATGCCATGAACTCTCTCTGTCATCCCAGTTGTTAGTTGAAGTACCAAGGAGATAAAGCTCAACATGGAAATGCTCACAGAGCTTCATGAGACTTGCTGGTAACTGTTGTCACGTTTCTGCCACACCATGGCAGTTGCAGCTGGACTGTATTTCCCTCAGTTGCTTATGAGCATGCCATGTCAGATGGGGTCAGAACACCCCTATGAAATCCATCTATCAGCCCATCTGCCATTTCCCCTGTGTAAGACTGGCTGTTTACTCCTATTAAAGAATGCTGGATTGCCTCAATGTAGTCTGCTCTTGACAATCCATCCTGTTTGGGCTCCCCCTCCCTTTTTGTCCCAGGTGCTTGTTCCTGAATTATTGAACAATTAACTGTACAATGGTCCTGGGCATCAGTATTAGCCAGCCTGTTTCCTTTTATGAAGATAGTAATTATACTTGACTTTCTCCAGTCCATGGGATTAGCTCTGTCCTACAGGAGTCTCAGATACAATTAATCCCTAATGGGTGTTTTTGA